TGTATGTTGCATAGATTTTTATTTTAGAACAAGATCCAATTATTTTTCAATATTTTCTAATGAGTGTTAAATCATTATGCCTTCAATATGAATAATGAGAATTAATTAACATAATGACAGAGGGTTTCATAAACAGATTTCACGTTAACTATACAAATATGTCTACCCATAACCAAGTAAATGTCTTTGAACAAATAATACAATTAGATAATGACAATGTATTAAAATCAAGAGTTCTTTTCTCACTAACAAAGCAGCAAAATATACTATTAACAGTCTGTATCAATATATTAATATTATAGAGGCTTCTAAGATGGTTGACATGAGACTTTTTTCAGAAGTTAATAAAAAATCTTGAATTTTGTTAGAGATATTACAAGGTTAGGTTAGCTTAATGAACTAATGCATTTATCATCGAAAGAAAAATTATGACTATCTCTTAACTCTCATTACCATTTAAGGTTACAGTTTCCTTCTCTTTTTTATTCCACCCATGCAAAATTGCCCTCTCCTCAAAGTAAACCAAAATTAAGCACACACATATGTGCACTTGGTATTTTCTAGTTGCTAATATTTAGAGGAGGAAGAAATTTGTAGTTTTGTTGAATCATAAAAAGGAGTAATCATATGGCACTAATTGAAACAAAGTCCACACTACGGAGAAAATAAAAATGAACTTGTTTTTACCATTACAGAGTGAATATTTACACTGCTCCTTCATCAGCAAAAACACACACCTTACACCTGCTGTGTTTCCTCTTTTCTGTTGAACCTCTACCTAATTAACAACCATTAAGATTCACACCTGCAGTGGCTTTAGCCTTTATCTACAGCTCTGAGTTGTAGTTTTTAACCCTTCATTGTACTTGACAGATTCTTAAAGAGGGCTGTTGCAAGTATTTGCATTCAAAGTCACTCTTGAATTCAAAACAGCTGGGGACTATGAAGAGGCAATTGTTTTTTTTCTGGAATAAGACATGAACAGGTGGTACTCCCACCTGCTCCAAGTCTTCGACTATTTGTTGGCTCCAAAAAGTTTTTGGATCTGATATTTGAAATGTTCTCTTGCATTAGAAGCAGTGGAGGAAGAGAAAACAGGCCATGGCCCTTTTTGTTACTGATGGTCTCATTACAGGCATTCCTTGGCTAGTAATTTCTGGCATATTGAAATAAATGGGTGCATTGCTTTCTGGACTTTGTATGGGGGAAATAAGCCAAATGTTTGGTACATAGCCTGGATACTTTATTTTAAATATCAAAGAAGATTTAGCCAATCAACTTGAGTGACTTATTTTCCAATTGGGAAAGTTTGCAAAAGCCTATTTATTACTGGCAATGGAAAATTTCTGGACAGACAAGTAGTGATTTTCACTGTCATTTCTTACACACAGAAGACAGTACTTCAACACATTCTAATTTGGGGTGTATCTGTTTTGCTTTCTTAGTGTATTTAATATTTTGGTATTTCTGTTCTGTAATTGAGTGGGACAAATTGAGATAAATGCTAAAACTACACAATTTGAAGGTTTTTTTTGTGGATAAAGTAAATCAGTATGATCTAGCTAGTCTTAATTATGACCTGCAAAATATTTGGGGCTATTTTTGTTCTGAAAAGTTTGAAAACATACTGTTAAGTATGTTTTTTTTTTTATTTTTCCACTATCTCCTCTGTTACAGTTTTCGATAATCTACAACAGAAATAAAAAAATACAGAGTATCATTGATTCAATGTACCTAAACATGCCATTTGTATATTTGTTGGTATGGTTATGTACTAAAATCATTTTATATTTTACTGTTTATGAATCTACCTATGCATTATATATAATACAGCTATATATAAATATATTTATTGCATTTTAAATTAAAATATATTTAAACTGTATTATCAATATATATTAATTATATGTGCTTACAAAATTTGATTAAAATGCATTAAGTGCAAATTCAAATATAGGACCACAAGTATCCTAATTTATTCAAACTCTTAACCGGTTTTGCATGAAGTATTTTCCTGGATGCCACACATTTTAAAGACAACTAATAATTGCCAAATACACTCCCTGTTTTTTTCTTCTAAATTATCTGCCATTGTCTGTTGAATATTGTCCCCTGATACTTAAAAATGTGTGTAGATGGTGGTATAATTATCCTATTTTGTGTATGAAGAAATAAAAGTGCATAGTTTATGAAAGAGGCCACAGCAGAGTTGGAAATTAATGGCCTGTGTTTCTAACCCTGAATCCCTTGTGTTTTCCAGGAGATTACTTCCTCCCAAACCTATAGGGCACATTAGAGTTTCTGGAAGACACTTGAGAAAACGGACATATTCTTAGAGCATCTTTCAACTATTAAAAAATTTAAGCGATGACAATGTAAAATATGATTTCAAAATTATGATAATGTAGGGTGACATGGCAAAGAATATTGCAATGATATGTTTGGAAATTTAAAAGGATAGTTTGTTTCTCATAAATTTAAAAGGTAATGAATAAATACAAGGAAAAGAACATAAGAAAAATTTGCTTAATTGGTGGACTCAAAAATGAAACTTAGAAACGCTTTGGGAACATTTTTTTTTTTTAATTTTTCCCATTACAACACAATCTGCTGATGTTCTTTTCTTTTCTTCTTAGCACATATTCTTAGACTCCATTGCCGCTAGACTTCTTTTACATAGTGTCTGAAACTTCCTTGTTCTGTAGGTCAGTTTTGACTTAGTTCCTTTCTATGCTTCTACTTAATTCATCACATCAATCGAAAATCAGCTGTTAGCTGGGACTACATCAAATTAAAGAGCTTCTGCACAGCAAAAGAGACAATAACAAAAACAAAGAGAAACCCCACCGACTGGGAGAACATTTTTGCACACAACAGTAATGATAAAGGACTGATCACAAAAATCTGCAAAGAGCTGATGAGACTCAACAACAAAGAAAATAATCCTGTCAAAAAATGGGCAGAAGAGCTAAAAAGAAACTTCTCTGAAGAGGAAATGCAAATGGCCAACAGGCATATGAAAAAATGTTCAACATCACTTGTAATCAGGGAAATGCAAATCAAAACTACCATGAGATACCATCTCACACCAGTGAGAATGGCACATATTAAAAAAACTAGCAACAACAAATGATGGCGAGGGTGTGGAGAAAAAGGAACTCTTCTGCACTGTTGGTGGGAGTGCAAACTGGTCCAACCACTGTGGAGAGCTGTGTGGAGATTTCTGGACCTACTAAACATAGAGCTTCCATATGATCCAGCAATTCCACTCCTAGGTATTTACCCAAAGGACACAGAAACATCAATTCCAAAGAGCACCTGCACCCCTATGTTTATAGCAGCACTGTTTACAATAGCTAAGCTTTGGAAACAACCCAAATGCCCAAAAATAGATGACTGGATCAAGAAGATGTGGTACATATACACCATGGAATATTACTCAGCATTCAAAAATGATAAGCACATGCAATTTGCAGCAACATGGATGGCACTGGAAGGGATCGTGCTCAGCGAAATAAGCCAGAAAGAAAAAGAAAAATACTGGATGATCTCACTCATAGCAGGAATCTAGAAAACTTAAATAAGGGACCAGGAAAATGAATAACTATAAGAAAGTGAAAATCAAAATCAACAAAAAACTATGAACCAGAGACACTCTATGGGGGGTGAGGGGCGGGGAGGGGAGGGATTGTGGTCAAAATAAGGGGGTTGCAATTGTATGGGGAATATAAAAATAAACTTTATTAAAAAAACAAATAAATAAAAAAAATAAATTCAGCTGTTAGTAAATGTCAGAGGAAAACTAATCTGTGAATAAACTAGGGTTAGTAATTACCTTACCTGTTGTATAGTCAATAGCAAGTGACAAGAAAATATTTTTAGTTGCTATTTTTGTTACCATAATTGTTTTAATTTCAAAAAATGTCTACCATAATAATTAGTGATAACTAGAATATTCTGAAAGAAAATATTTATGCAATTATAAATTCCTGGTCATAAAAATTAGCATGTGTATGTACTAAATTAACTAAGAAAATTACTTAAAAATAGCTGCTGTGCCACTAGATGTTAGTAAATAATAAAACAATAGAAAGTTATTGATATGTGGCAACTTACTCAGAAATAGGACTTTTCATTGCCAAGAAGGGAGATAAAACAGTCCTCTTTCTATCTATGAATCAATTGTCTTTTAATATTAAAAAAGTCAATTTTTCCTTTTTTTAAAATTATTTCTAAGGTTTTATTTGAGACTGAGCAGAATTTTCTGGACTAAACATTTTGAATGGCTCTCATTCCTTCTTGCATCTGATAATACTCTCTATGTATCCACCATTTGTCTGGCACAGTACTGGGTATAATGCACAAAATTGTGTAGTCAATTTTGTGTAGTCAATATAGATGAAACCCCTGTATTCATAGATTCAGTATGCTTGTAAAACTTGGAAACATCTTCAAGAGTAGCAAATCACTATCAATGCCAAGGATATTAAGATAACTATGAAGATTTAGCACACTGAAGGATCTGTCAAGGAACAGTGTCAAAAAATGTAAGACTGTCAATGGTGATAGCTAACACAGATTAAGGAGTTAACATTGTAACTAAAACTATTTTAGGCTATTTAAGTGTATTAAATTATTTAAATCATTTAATCTTCACAAGTCATATGTATGAAGATATTAGAATGTGAGTAACTTGCTATTTGTTTAATTTTAATATTTGTGATAATTTGTAATAAGGAATTTGTTAAGTCATTTGAATTCAGGCAATCTGCTTTGCAATCTCTCCATCCTCCCCATTCCTCAGTTCTGATCCCTTACAATAAACCACACCAGCATAAACAATATTAAAATAAAATACAGTAGGACTATTGAGACACAACAGTATTTTGCAATACAAGCTGTTATTAGCAACTGCTTTAAGAGCAGAATAGTAAAGAAAATCAGATTCCAAGAAATGGAAAAGTTGGAGGCACTAATTGTTTGTATGAACTGTTTTCTAGGATATCAATAAAAGTTTCCAGAAGATGAAAGTTACCTAGAAGGCACAAGAAAGAAGAAAATAGAAAAGATGCAACAATACACAAAAAAATACTTACCTCATATTAGTACAGAAAGATTATTTATATAAGAAAATCTTGCTCTTTGAGCTAAAACTTGCACACACTAAAAATGGGGGTGGAGAGAAAGGGAGAGAAAAGACTACAGTTAAAGACATTAAACTGAGTAATATGAAATTAATAGTACTCAAGGCTACTTTTCCTCTAAGAACAGTTCTCTCTTATGGTTCAACTTTACAATAATAATTGCAGATAAATGGAGAAGCTAATAGCTGATGGCCTTTAGACTTACGGAGGGAGAAAAAGTTCTCAACCAAGAACCAAAAGATAAAAGTTTACTTTAAAACAGTGATTTTTGAATCTATATTACTTGAAAATCACATTTTTCTCATTGAAGAAGACGGATGGGGTCCTCTGCTGAAAGTGATAGCTTCATGACACCAACCTGAGAATGAGGTTATAAAAAATGTAAGAAATGGCTTTTCTTTTCTGCCTAACTCTGGTCTTGACTTGAATTGTTTCCTAGAATTCTTTCCTGAGACAGAACTGATCTTTTGAGGTGTCACTTTCCAATCCCAGTCAGATTCAATATGATTGCAGTTTATAGTAAAATTTAATAGAGCTAAATATCAGCATTATTTGAAATGTTCTAGAACTGCTGAACATTCTACAAGGAGAAGACTAAATGACAAAAAAAAAAAAATGTGGCCTTTTGCTCAAGGACTATTAGCCAATTAGCTAAATAATAGTGATGCCATATTTTTCTAAAATGTATAAAATATCATTTCAAGGATGATAATAGCTATTATATACTGATAGGTATATAGGAGGTTTTATATCTATCCCTTGCATATATCTTAATTAGTATGTGACTGCCAATGTTTCTTCCTGCATCCATTTCTACACAGCAGACAGCCCTATTTTTACAATAAATCAGATAAAATTATATTTCTAGTCAAAAAATTCTCTCTTTCTCTCCATCTTGTCAAACTGACCTTCTTCCAGGTCTTTAAAACCTAAGCCCTTAACTTCTTCAAGTGCTTAGCATTTTTGAATTTTATGAGAACCCCACTTCTTACCATCTTGGAGGCCGACTCCATCCTGTCCCTTCATTGGCAGCTTAAATGATATTTCTTCATAAAGGCAATCTTAACTATATGGTCCCATGAAGATTGCTTCCACTCATGCCATTTACTGGACCCATTTCATTGTCTTATAGGATGCATTAACATTTGTCATTTTATGTCTATTAGCATGGTTATTAGCCTACTATCTCTTTCCCCAGCATTCTGTTTTTTCCAGAGGAGAAAGCACCTTGCCTATTTTATTCGTCACTATTTACTCAGATGTGATTATTGACCTGCACCATATTAGTCATTAATATGTGAGCTACTCAAGGCTAGAATTTAAACAAACAATAATGATCATGCTTATAGACAACAAAAGAGAGATGTTCAGCAGTTTGTCCAAAGTTACAGCACTATCATGTGCCAAAGCCTACATCCTGAAAATAAACAAGTCTTATGAAAGGTCTAGCCTGTAAATTACAATGAAATACATTTTAAAAAATGAGAAATTATCATTTTGAAAGCAGAGTACCCTAGGAAGTCCATTGGCCCCTCCCTTAGTGTTCTGCTTCACAGAGCAGTCTGCATTTTGTTATGAATTAATATCTCGGCATTATGAGAACACTTCAATATCTGAATATCTCAGCAAAAAGCTTTGTGCCTCACATAAGAATATGAATATTATGTGTTAATACAAACTTATTCAACTTGGAAATAATTATAAATATGCCTGCAGTATATTTATATGTGTAAATATGTATTTCTGGGTTTATAAACATGAAAACAAATGTTGCACCATGATGTTTTGCTAGGTAATGTCACATTCCATGAGTTTCCTAATAAATGGTTAGCTGACATTTTCCATTGACATATGACAGAATCTGCAAATTACCATGCTTTCAAAAGGTAATAGTATATATTTGAATCTTTAAAATAATTTTTAAATTCAAATGATCACCTCTCTTTTTATCTAATATTATTCTAAAAGGGAACACATTCAAACTATAAGAACTGCCATGCTGAATTTATCTCAAGCTTTGAGATTTGTTCATTTACCCTTTGAGACTTGTATACCTCTAAACATCAGGTAGCTAATAAGCTTTGAGCAAAGTAGGCAATAATCCCTTTTCCCTTAATACCTACAATACATAGCACACAAATTTTAATTGTAAATAATAGACTTCTGTTTATGGTTATCACTAATATGAGTCAATACAAAGAATTGGATGAGAAATGCTTTCTTTCTTATAAATAGTAATCTATTCTATAGTAGTTTTCCTCAATAAAGGATATCTTACATGATTGTTTTCAGAAGATATATAAGACACCTAAATTTGTAACCAGGGCAGAATTTATATAAGTCTATAGATCTCCCCCTGTAACACATAGGATTTTTAATTTAACAACTGTTCACTTGCACTGTCATCATGCAAAAATACAGTGTGGAAAATAACATAGTGAGTTGGTTCAGTAAATCTTAGAAATGAACAAATTCATCCCATATCTTAAAGTTTACAAAAGTAAACAATGTGAGAACTTTGAAAATCCATGGCCAAACTTTGTAAAAGAATTTCAATACTGGGTTAAAGATAATTACAGAGTTGCTATATTTCCTGGAACAGACCTTCTAGGTTCACTGAGACTTTTAGTTTTTCTTTTTAATGCTATTATAATTTTAAATTCTCTCTGACTTTGCCATTGTTTATTGTTTCTCACTTTCAAAACTAAAGGAGAAAGATCTCAAGAAGCTAAAATGCCTTGGAGCACTCCAAGGACTTAAGGACAGAGCTGATTGTTCACAAATTCAAAATATTTCTCTCAGTCAACTTCCAAACTGTTTTATTTTTGTCCCTGGTCCAATTAGTTTAATGTCTCTTTTTCATTATCTTGCTTGAACACATTTATTGTTCTAATGATTCAATGAAGTGTGCTTTTCCATATTTTAGCTATTGTTTTTTCAATACACAAGTTTACCAGAGAGTGGAAATAACCCTTCTGGAGACTTTTCTTCAAGGCAGAATAGGGGGCCACCCCACAGGGGCATGCTGTATCCTCTACACCTGCCAGAGTTTATGGAGCCCTGTTGTAATTTAATCCATACTTTGCTGTCATTCTCTGTATTCATATTGTGTCTTTGTTTTATTTATGTGAATAGAAGCTCTAAAAGCTTGACGATACTAGAGGAATATGGAGTATAGCACATAATAAAAACGTTTAAAACAGCACACATGCAAGTCAAGGAGAGAGGCCTTAGAAAAATCTAACTCTGCCAATACTTTGACCTTGGATTTCTGACTTCCAGAATTGTGAGAAAATAAATTTCATTTGTTTAAACCTAGTGCATGATAGCATGTTAAGGTAATACCCTTTAGAAAATAATACATAGAACTTGTGAATTCAGGATAAAAAACTAATATTGAAATTTAAAAAAAATGTAATTTAAATCAACATTAAATATTAAAATGTCCTCAATAAAACAAAGAGAATTTTGCACTCAAGATTCTGTGACCCCTCTGAATGAAGTCTTTTTTTTTTTTTTTTTTTTTTAAATAGAGGCATGTTTTATTTATTTATTTATTTGTTTGTTTTGTTTATACAAGCACTGGGTACAGTCAGAAGCGCGGGAGGGTGAGAGAATTCACCAGAGCCAGAGCGGGGAGCAGAGCAGGCAGAAGGACTGAAGCACACTGCTGAGGGGAGCAGCGGGCGGCAGGAGAGGTCTGCGCGCCATGTGGGACCCTCCTCCGGTGGCCGGGGAGCAGCCGGGGATTGAACCGGCGCCGCAGAGGCCGCGGGCAGCTTTGCAACCCAGCACTCTACCGCTGCACCACCGGGGAGGCCCTGAATGAAGTCTTTTTGTTAAAACCAACTGAGAAAAAAAAATCAAATTGGACATACTAAATCTATATGTTCTTTTTATTTTTCAAAGATTTATTTATTGATGCATACAAGAACTGAGGTGTTAGCTAGAGGTGTGGGTGGAGAGAGGATTCACCAGAGACAGAGTGGGGAGCAGAACAGGCAGATTGACTTAAATACACTGCTGAGGGGAGCAGCGGGCATGTTAGGAGAGGTCTGCTGCGCCATGTGGGTTGCTCTCTGGCTGGCCGGGATCGAACTTGTGCTGTTGTGGCTAGCAGTAGCTTGATAGCGCTATCTTTAATCCCCGCGCCACCAGGGAGGCCCTTTATGTTCTTTTTAAAAATATATTTTCTGTTGAGTTGATATTGTTTCACACCATTTTTTGTATTGTATTATAGAGGATCCCCTTCCTCCAGGTGTTGTCGCCATGGTGCACCCACCACCAAAGACTTCATAATTCACCACCATGGGCCCTTGAGCTATCCCCACTCTTTGTTCTTGTTCCTCACCTTCTCACTCCCCTTTTTCTGACCTTTGTTGTGTTTTTCTACATTCCACATATAAGTGATATCATTCTGTATAAATCCCCATGTTCTTTTTTTTTTTTTTTAAGGATTTATTTATTTATTTATTTATACATGCAAGCACTGGGTATAGTCAGAAGCGCGGGAGGGTGAGAGAATTCACCAGAATCAGAGCGGGGAGCAGAACAGGCAGAAGGACTGAAGTACACTGCTGAGGGGAGCAATGGGCGGCAGGAGAGGTCTGCGCGCCATGTGGGACCCTCACCCAGTGGCTGGGGATCGAACCAGCGCTACAGAGGCTCGGGCAACCCGCGCTCAACTGCTGCGCCACTGGGAGGCCCAAAATCCCCATGTTCTTAAAGGGATTGAATAGTATATATTATCTAATCAACTGCAGAAACAAGGCAGAATAAATTTATAAACTCTCTTTAGAAAAAAATATGTAACAATATTACCATAGAATCCTAGGTTCATTCTTATAGGAGAAAATAAAATGGCTATTATATAACTGAAAAATTTGGCATTATATAATTGAAAGGAAGTCAGTAACCCATTATAAGCCTTGGTGTCTTCACCCTGGTGGGAAGCAGAGGATATAAGTAACATGGACTTTCCAATTTAGGGCTGGAGGAGGTATAAAGTAGAATGTATTCAAATATGTCTGATTTAAGTTAATAATAAGACCCCCAAGATATCCTACTTTCCCAT